GCCGACGCCACCGCCGATGCTTCTGGAGCTGCGACCCCTCCGCCTCCGCCTCCACCTCACCTCCGCCTCCCCCTCACCTCCGCCTCCGCCTCCGCCTCCGCCTCCGCCTCCGCCTTTGTCATCGCCTCTGTGGTCGCAAACACCGCTGATACCGTTTCAACATCTCATTCATACCTATGTCAAAATCTTCAAGCATTGACACTGTCGTGTGTAATAAGTGAAGCTGTCGCATACGATAGATTCCAGCTCATGTTCATGAATTATACTCTGTGTCACGCTCTCATTCACTCATATCTGGACTTCTACCTCCGCCTATTTACATTTCTCTCCCCTTCTCTGTCATTATTATGCTGCATCTGCAGTCGTTTGTCTATCTAACGGAGTCTTATAACTATCTCGCATTTACTACAGTAGATACGTCCTTCCTCTTTCCTCCATTCCTCTCTCTTTCCTCTCGTTCATTATCTTTCCCCTGTCGTATTTCAAATTGAACGTATAATACCAAGAACCAGAAACTTAGTACTATCTTTCTCATATGGTTATGAATAAACGAAATACGATTTGGATTATATTAGGAGAAAATAACGCACTTTTGATTTCCACACTAGGCAACTGCTTTCCACCGTTTACAAACTAGGCTTACTTGCTGCATTGTACTGAAGGGAACTGCTGCATATTAAAATAGAGGCACGATATTACACAGAGTAATTATTTCGTTAAAAATATTTATTTATCAGGTAAATATAAAATTTATTAGGTATATATAAGGTAAGACGCAGATTGTCAATTATTTTAATATAAAATAATTGATTTTGACTTAAATAAACTTCTATCTACTGAAGAAGTCTGCAGACCACTAGTTTATATTTTATTTAAATATAATATTTAAATATTATTCATTATTTCCTCTATGGTGCAACAAGATTTCTGCCAGCTCGACTTAGATTTCAGATTTGTACAAAAAATAGAGAAAAAAGAATGTAAAAAGAATACGGGAACTGTTCAGTTCGATATACGACGCGCTTTTCATTGAATCAAGAAATAAACATAGTAACGAAATGTACACATGATAATTGCAACAAAAACTTACTCTCAAGCTACAACAAAATTTTACTCTGTATATTCTTCATTGAATGATTTATTTTCATCTTAAGCTTCTGTGTAATGCATTTCTTCACCTACTTCAATTGGTTTTGTTTGTTTCATTTTACCGTGATATTGTTGTAGCATAAATTTTGATAAATTATATATAAGATAAATATGGAGAAAAAGAAACTATATTTACTTTTCTTCACTTTGCAGAAACAATGTAGTTTTGAATCGATTTATGTAAATGATTCTGAAATAACTAAACATCTGCTTAAATTATATTGCTTTATCTGCTCATATTGAACTTGAAGTTATACTTGAAAGTGTACTTTCTATCTTATTTTCATATGCTCGATTTAAAGAGATAGAAAAATGTAAACGTAGCTAATAAATTTGTATTTTTATCTTATTTTAAAAAAATCCAAGATTGTATCACAACAAATTGGATTTATGTGCTATGATTTCAGCAATATTTGGCATTAAATAGTAAAATATATTGAATATTTAGTTTTACTTGAATATTTTTGCGATTTGATCTCAAGGAGGAATTATGGCTCAATTTTGACGATAGTATAGAAGGCAGTGTCGTTACAGAATAAATACGTTATTATTATTATTATTATTATTATTATTATTATTATTATTATTATTATACAGGATCCAATTCGAAGAGAAATTAAAGCAACGATAACAATACAATTAGAAGAAAATGCGCCAATATAATAAGCAGAGCATCCTGTAAATTCCAAATTGTTTCACGCGAGAGTTTTTGGACTCATTTTCTATTCCCCGCAATTCGCTTAAACGTAATGATGATAAAAACGTTTGTAAATTGAATGAAAATCTGAATAAAACATAAATTAAATACAAACTACTACTGATTTCATTATTTTAGGGAAGTTTATTAGAATCAAAATCAATTATTATCTATTGGACATTCTGCATCTCAGCTTTTTGTTGAATTTGCGATAACATTTTAATCGAAATAATAATTATTTTTACTAATAATATATTATAATTATAATTTCGATTATAAAATATCGAGAATATTGTTATAAAGTTGCCTTTAACAAAACATTTATTATCAAGCCGCGGTAAAATCATTCCCAGTTCACTGTAATATTTTTCCAACGTCGCTACCCGAAGTATGAGAAACAAAGAGCTACGATCTCTGGTCTTCACCGTTATTGACAAGTCAGAAGCACCATTGTAGCCAGTTCTACTGAAATATGTTCCTCGCCGTTTCATTATCCGCGTCCGCTTCCGTTTTCAACGTTAATTTGTACCGCCACATTCGCTGAGAAAAATACTTGTTTGGATCCAACAGATTTCCATGTATGATTCATATTGTCTCGTGATATATTGTGCAATATAATAAAAATATGCCATCGCTATGGCCATCGTTTGAATCCACATCTCCGTGCGTTCGGATCGTTCACTCTGCAGTCCAATTTTATTCTTGGATTCGCGGTGTGACGGCGGCGGCCGCTGCGGCAGCGGCGGTGGTGTCGGTGGCGGTGGCGGCGGCGGCGGCGGCGAGGAGGTGGCGGCGGTGGCGGCGGTGGCGGAGCTGGAGCGAGGGGCGATCCAAGGCCTCCTGCGACTATATAAGCTTCCACGCAAGGCGTCTTGGCACGCAGTTGGCCGTTTCTCGTCAGTTTCCACCTGCACGGTCCCGATTCCAGCATGTACAGGCTTGTAAGTAGCTCAGGCGAGCCATTTGCCTTTTCTGATAGAGTTGCTTTCGAAACTGGTTTGGTGGGGCGATTGTGATCGAAAAAAATTCATTCAATCAAAATTTTATTGTTCTAGGCGATGGGGTGTGTCTAATTAATTTTACTTTGCAAAAAACGTACATCATAAGAAGATTGGATTGTGATGTGATGTGTACACAATTCTTTTTTTTTTTTTTCGTTCGCATTCCTAAAATCTATGCCATCACATGTAGGGTAGAGGAAATTCTTTTTACAGATACAATAGTGTAAATAAATTCTTCCATTGCCTTTCTGTACAAAGTCAAAACTCTGAAAAACCTTTATGAATTGATTAGTTTTCAAATTTCAAAAATTTTCAATATGTATAGTACAATACTAGAACGACAACATTGAAGTTTCCAACATTATGTCGTCTTAACCATACTATAGTGTACAGATTTTGCAGAGAGTTTGAATTTTGAATGAAATTCTCAAGTTAAAGACAAAAGGGATTCATCTACCGGTTACATTCGTTGTAGATAAAAAGTCAAAATGTAATTCAAAAAAGTCTGTCTTCCACAGACTATTCAATTGGATGATGTTCCTCCAAAAATGATAAACTTCTTGACAATTAGACTTTCAGTTCGGAAATAAATCACAGATAGATGCAAAATTAATTTTTATTATTTTAATAGAAAATATATAAAGCGATCATCCATTCATAATACATACTTTTTGTGAAATCAAAAATCTTCGGGACAGCCAAGCACAGAAAAGCAGAACTTGAACTTGATAACATCTTGAACGGATTCACAGCTTAACTTTGTAATCAAAACACGCTTCATAGAAACCAAATTTTGATCGTTCAATTGACATCCTCAAAATAGATTCACTATTTCTGAGGAATAGAAAACAAAGTAATTGGAATCTCTTAGAAAAAAAATTTGGACTCTCATCTAAAATAGGTTCATCACAGTGGGATGACGACGGTAAAACTCGGAGAAACGAGTCGAAGATAAGGCTATCGTCGTAAGAGATTTTTTTTTGAAACGGAATTTCCAAAACCTGGTGCTGGATTCTTCCAATTAGCACGGAGCTTCTAAAACGGAGTCTAAAAGTCGTCGCTTCGTTCGCAGGTTGTGCTCTTGGCGCTAGCAGCCCTGTCGGCGGCGCAGTACCACAACCCGTCCCAAGCGCAGCACGCCGCCATCTTGAGCGAGCAGCGCTTCCTGTCCGGCGACGGCACGTTCGGCGCCGCCTACACGCAGGAGGACGGAGTGCAGTTCAAGGAGGAGGCTGACCAGGACGGCAACCGCCGCGGCTCCTACAGCTACGTGGACCCGTCGGGCCAACGCCGCACCGTCCACTACACCGCGGGCAAGGACGGCTTCCGCGCCTCCGGAGACCATCTGCCCGTGGCCCCCGCCGCCCCCCACCCCGTGCCC